GAGACCGTCGTAAAACGAGTGGCGCGAGTCGAGGAAGATGAGGCGGTAGGCGGCCACCTCCGACACGTACTGGATGGCGGATTGCACCGAGGAGCGGGCGAGACCGAGGTGGTGGGACGGGGCGAGGCGGCGGTTGGCAGCGGTGTGGCGGCCCGTGGGGGACGGCCCGCTGCGGGAGAAGAAGGAGAGCGACTTGTCGAGGGCGTGGAGGTGGGCGAGGACGTAGTGAAGGGTGTTGAGGCGGATGTAGAGCCGCTGCGTGCCCCGGCTGGTGGACGGCCGCGGGTGGTTCATGTTGGTGATGCCGTCCTTCCCGTTCGAGCGGCCAATACCGACGCTGCAGCGCACCGCCGCCCTCTTCCATAGCCTGACCAAGTTGGAGTCCTGGTTGCACCTCGTCAGTGGCGGGAGGCTGGGCACGTAGCTTTGCTTGTTCCCTGCGAGTAACAACGAAACGATTGAGCTCACTCAACGCAGGTCTTAGCAGAGGGAAAGAGGCCACCGTCCATACCACACGCAGCAACGAAGGTAGTGTACTCCTGGAAGATTGTTTCTAAGCCATCGGCCAGGTCTTGAACCATGTCATCTCTGGCTCCCACAGGGATCTCAAAGAACTCATCCACGGTCACCTTGGCCAGCTTCATCAAATCCATGGAAGACTGAGCGTAGGGCTCGTTCTTCGACCTCGGCATCCAGCTCTGCAAGCAACAACGTATCCCTCAAGCAATCAACATCACACGATGCTTGCTGTCGGTCTCAGGTAGCACAAAAAACTTACCTCTGTTTCTTTTGCTCTGCTTAGGCATTCCTTTCCGATCCTCAACCTTTCGTCGATCCAAGTCTTGAGGAGGCCTGCGACAATGGAATCCACATCATACGGGACCATCTCCCTCACCACCCCCTTCCCTCCGTCTTCGCAGTCGGCGGAGTCCTCGACGACCATCTGCACCAGCAGCTTCTCCAACTTGCCGGCGGATTGCAGCACCCGCACCAGCTCGTTGGTCAGGCACGTGACCTTGGACAAGTACTGCTTCAGCACGATCCCGAAGCAGCTGTGGATCGTCACCACCGCGGCCGCAGTCGGAACCTGATGCCATTTCCTCAGGACAGGGCTAAACAAATCCTTCTCGACCAGCGCCAATTCCTCTGTTTCTTCTGCAAGCTGGAGAAGGATGTTGCTAGGATCGTCGTTTATTCCCACGATCACGCTATCGCCGTGGGACGCTCCATTCTCCAGTATCTGTCACACGCAAGCATACCAGAGGACCATCAACATATGAATCGGAACTCGGGAAGCATGGATTGACTGCTAGAATTGGCACCTTGGCGAATGCACTCCTCATCGACGACCTTATGTAGTAATCTACCCGGTTGACGGATGGATCCATCGCCGCCTGACCGTCATCGTCGACAAGACTGGCCCCGTTGTCCAAAGGATCCTCGCCGATGATGTTCGTCGTGGAGAGTGCCAAGGAGACTATGTTCTCCATGCTTGCGATGGTTTCCTTGTCGAAGCACTCATGGTAGTCCAACACCTTCGCCTCTGCCCAACTCTGCATCACAGTCAGTGCGCCGGACAAGAGATTAACGTAGTTAGCATCGCGATCGGCCTTCTTGGCGTTGCTGGCGACCTCGACCAGTGTTGCTAGCGTGGCGCACAACAGGTCGGGCTCGATTTGCCCCGTCTCCAGATATCGTTGGAAGAACAACCACGCGAAGCAGACATTGTGGATCATCTTGTTGATGCCCAAGGTGGACCATGTCTTCTTCATCAGCTCGATGAGCTCGTCGACCTCATCCAACACCACGGTGTCTTCGCGCAGGTCGAAGATGGAGTGCAGGAGAGCGAGGTAGAGATGAACGTTGAGAGGGTAGCCGTCGGCCCAGTGGCATACTTCAGTGGAGGCGCCACTGGAGCTCCGCCAAACCAAGGCGACGACGGCGTTGCAAAGGTTGCGCATGGTTTCCGAGTTCTTGCTGGTGTCGATGGGCTTCAGCTCGCTCGCTCGGATGATCTCTAGCAGACGGGCGGCTGCGGGGCTGTGGCGGTCTACAGGGACAGACGGGTATAAGATAAGGCCTGCTTCGAGGATCTTGAGCTGCCGCCGTTGCCATTGGTGGTATTCTTGTGCGTCGTTGAATTCAGAGGGCTTTAGCTGGCGAAGGAGCTCCAATGGAAGGATGATCGTCTCTGCTTTTCTTCCCACCTGTTATCATCAGCAAGAAAAATGTCATCATGGAGGTGCGAGGGAGGAGCAATCCAAACCCTTCCTGTATATTGAAGATCGATTTGTGAAGCAAATGAAATGAATACATATCTTTTTGTTCATTAAGCCTTAATGGATCAACGCAAATGTACAAGGCAGCAAATCTAGAGGTTATGTGGTAAGGCTGAGATGGATGGATGCATGCATGCACGAGTCACCTGTCCGACGAGGGTCCTCATGAGGGTCTTCCTTAGCCGGCGATCGCTCTGCTCCGTGACGCGCATCTGCAGCCGCATGATCTCCGCGGAGGTCATCGGCCGCCTCGCCTTTCCGGGCGAGTTGGACCCGCTGGACATCCCCGTCGTCATCGGCGACGATCGCCTCGCATTCAGCCCCAGCGCCTTCTTGATGCGGCTCCTGGCCACCGTCATCCCAGACGACCCCCACTTGGGAGACCCCTCCCCGCCGGCGCCGGTGCTGGCCGGCGACGACGGGTAGTAGTTCAGGGAGCCCCGGCTGCCGCCGAAGCCGGGGGAGGAGCGGCACGTCATGAAGAAGAGCTCGTACACCGCCTCGCGGAGGTCGGTCCGCGTGAGGGGGTCGATCCTTCCGAAGGGGCACTCGAGCTCGAGGCTGGGGTCGGTGTCCGAGCGTGAGATGGAGGAGTGGGAGTGCTGGCGCCCCATGCTGCGGTAGGTCAGGCTACGGCGCGCAGGGAGAAAGAAGAAGAAGGAGACGACGACGACATGGAAGGCTATACCTGCATGGGAGCAATTGGAAGGCGTGGAGAGAGAGAGAGAGAGAGAGAGAGAGGGGAGAAGAAAGGATAGGTAGTCGCCTGGACTTTAGATTTATTTGCAGTTTTGTATTAATTTATATGTTTATTGTTGGAATTTTTGTGATGGGAATGAGAAGGTGGGGGAGACGAACTAAGAAAGGCAGCGGAAATGGAGGAGCATGAGAGGGTGAGAGGTGCCATCGAGCTGGCTACATGTTTCAGTGCAGTTTCCTTTACATACAATTACATTTATGTCCCTCTTTTTATGTGCCCACTTGACTATTATTTCAAACTAATTTGATGATAAGAACTTGAGGAAAATTTTAGGTGTCTTATAGATTTATCAGTTTCGACAACGAATGTCTTTATTTTGGGTAAATTATATTTTATTTCTTATTTAAATTAATTATTAATAATTGAGATTTTATTATTTTTTTATTATTGTAAATACTAATAATTACTATGAGTAGCGGTTGATTCGAGTTTTTTTTTTGATGGATATTAATCAGAGAGATATATTATTAGTATTATTATTATTATTATTATTATTATAACAAAAATAAAGTCATGAATCTTAATTATTTTGGATATTATTTATAGCAAATTATATATCCAAGTTTAGTACTTAAATTTTAATTTATGATTTCTATTAAAATCATTTTACGTATTTCGTTACTTATTCTAAAATTAATTATTTCATCTCTTCTATCCATAGATTTTCTTACGATTTTTTCTCATCTTATTATCAATCAAAATGATACCTAATTTATTCACGAATAAAAATATTTTTTTTCTTAGTATCTCCACATATTCATCTCAATACTTTTATCTCGATAACATATATTTTATACATATATTTTGAGGAATAAAAATATTTTTTTATCTCATTTTACCTCCCTCAAATAAAATTCAAATCCTTCCGTAAAATGAAATACAATTGATTAATGGCTAAAACACTATGTTGAGACAATGGCTTGGCGTTTATAGGAATTCATTATTTGATATAACATTCTATTTAAAGTGAAACTCTATCTTCCCTACTGATAAGTTCAAAGGAAAAGAATCATAATATTTAAAAGTAGTAAAAAAAATTAAAAATTGGCAAAGAGATTTGATAGGTGGAAATCGAACCGACGGATTATCTCCATACAACTAATACCGCCATATATCTCCGTCTAATCAACATCTACCAATGCATCATTTCCATATGACCGACACACCACGTGGAATTAGAACCCATCTAATCAACATCTACCTATTTATCCAAAACATCATCTCCATATGATCGATACTTCAATCTTCAATCTTATTATATCGACACACCACATGGACGTTGACAATGTGCCACCAATATAACAAAGTGTTATCCCATATTTCTATATTTGATGTACAATTTTATGATTGCATTAATGGTTGGACGATAAGTACAATCGTTTTCGACATTAATCCTATAAAAAGCCCTTAGCTATATTCTTAAATCTCTCTCTAGCTAATTATCCTATCTTGAACTCGATATTTGATCGAACTCCCAGAATCTATAATAACTTGAGCATCGAACGGCTTAGTCAAGCATAAATCTGATGTAGCTTTATCAGATCTTAGCAGCACAAGTGAGAGCCATCGCGTGACGAGAAGCACACACCCGCTCACTCTGTGGCATAACATCATACATCTATCCGTCACTCGACAGCACATTCTTCAACGAAAAAGAAGCACGACGGCATGAAGAACAGCAGCGCAATGAGTAAAAGCTACACTTTTCACCATTGTAAAGCAAAAGCCACATCAAAACCCTGAGTTCTGACCCAGAAAACTTCCATCAACGACTCGGTGAAAGGACGAACCCATAGAGAAGATGAGAAGTTTGCGTGCCTTGCTTTCACGATGAGATTCATCTTACTGAGCCGAGCCATCTCTCCGGTCTCTCGTCCATACGGCAAGCTCTTAGAATCCAGTTTGACCGTCAACGCACGTCGGCAGCCTCGCGTGCTGCCCCCCATGGGGTTAACGCGGCCTCACATCCGAATCCAACGAGCGAGTTGGGACGGATTGACCACGCCAGGAAAGCGAGCCCCCTCCGCTTTCAGCAAATAGGACAACTCGGCGTACGAGCTCGGCGGCTCCGCGCCCGAACCCGACAGAATCGGGCCCGCGAATTTGTTATTGGGCTCGGACCCGTTCGCCTCCCACCGCTTCCCCAAGAGGGTCCCCCTCGTGAGAAACTCGTGCGCCAGGCACCCAGCAAGGAGCCGGTTGTCGCGAGCCGGCGCCGGCCGAGAACGATCGGACCAAGCAGGAGATTCGGCGCGAGGGAAGTCGGACTGGTCACGGTCCTTCCGCTTCCTCCCCGCGCCAATTGTCGCATCTGCGGCCCGGACGTGGCTCGACATGTTAATATGACACCTCGTCAGCAAGACGACGACGTCTCGGCACGCAAAAGTAATCGAGGGACAAAAAAGGGGAAATAGAAGAGATCAACTGGTGCAAAAGGGTAAGAAGAAGAGGGCGCGTGACCACCAAGAATCTGGCGAAACCCGCCGTTATGACGACGAGCAGGCGGAGGCAGCCGCCGAAGGGGACAAAGGAAGCGTGAGAGGAGGAGGAAACGCAAGATTAAAGAGGAAGAGGAGGATTTGAGAGGAAGAGAACCCCTAGAGATCGACGAATATATAGACCCGCGACAGAACCGAGAATACCCCCGACATTGGACAAAATTACGGGCCGGACATCGACGATCTCGCCGAAATGATCAATTCGGTGGCGAGTCGGAAAGTAAAGGCAGCCCGTGAGAAATGGCGAAAATAATTAAGACTGAAAGGACAGATGGGGAACGTGAAAGGGAAAATATATGATGGCAAAAAAGTAAATATAGTGATGATGATATACCGGAAGATCAACACTCCTCGTAGAGACACGTGTAAGGTCATGATCAACGCTACCCAACCCGATGAGATAGGTGACGCGGGTGGCCGAAACCTGCTTTGCGCGCTGGTGCAATTTAGGCGACCGCCCTCTCCCTCGTGTCCACATAAATTGACAATATTACCCTTCCCGAAGTTGCAATCAACGGATGGATGATACCACCACACGCAGCGGATCCATCATGAACGGATCACGTCATGATTGAATCCAATTAATTAGATATCTGAATTGGCTCAGGCATTTCTCAACTTTATTCGTAGTTAGAATCCCTTCATACATATACATATATATATATATATATATATATAGGTTTTCTCTATCCTACTCTTGTGTTGTTTCTATCTTCAATCTCGTGAGATCATTCTCTACACCGTATCGTAGAGCGAGGACTTTTCCCGTATTGTACATTCAAAAAGAAATACAGGAGATTTTCTCCAGAAATCAACAGTCAATTTCAAATGGTGCTAAATTGAATCAATTAGTCAACCATACGGTTGACTTTTTATTCCTGAGGTAACAAAAAGTATTAAAGACTTACAGAAATTTGGCAGATGAAAAGTCAATACTATTCCAAAATCCGTTTGACCACGTTATGTAGCTGAAATACATTCTCATCATGACAAGTACAAATTCAGAAGCACGTCAAATCTTAATATCAGCTAATGGAACAGCTCTCTTGCAATGTATATCATCAGATGTCGGATAGACAAAATATATTTATCCTTACTCCTCATCAGTATGTGACTTTTCGTTGTCTTTTATAAAATGGATTAATCCTGCAGCCCCTAATATTTTATCCTAATCAAATGTTGCTAGCCCTAATATTAGACTACTCAATCCTACTATTTCATGTTTCCTGGGAAGAATCAGCGGAAAGAATGGCACAAAAACTAAACAACCACAGCATGATATGAAGAAGAAACTAAATCCAAATTATTTTGTTGATATGCAACAGTAAGGTATTGCATCAAACAGTAGGAGCAATTTACAGCATAGACTCTGGTGTTTGACGAGTATAATGAGACAAGCACGCCACAGAAGACTGCTAAAGTTCAGTAATTCGTGATAGCGAGAATTCAGAACCAAAAGATAAAACAACAAAAAACAATAAACAACAAAAAGCAAATCAAAACATAAAAATCAAATTAAAAGAATTGAAGTGAAAGGTAACATTGTCTAGCCAAAGAATTGAGAGTTATGCCTCTGTTTATTGGATTCCAGCTTTCCCAACCAACTGTTGGATAAATTCATATTTGTAATTCTATATCTGAGATGATTGGATTTTTCTAAACTTTATAAGCATGCAGAAGAAAAATAATCTAATCAGTCAGACCAATAAATCGCTTTGTGACAGAGAGAGACATTTTGTAGGGGTGTTGTAAACGGCAGTTCTCTAAATGAATTCAATTAACAGAATAAAACATGGATAAACCACTGTCCTACATATTTACAAGTTAGAGCAACTGATCATACTGAAATACAGAAATTAAATAAGACCACTATATTGGTGAGGTCGGTGCTGTGCAGAATGTATCAACAAGACAATGTGAACGTTAGCAACACCACATTCTTTGTTTGGGTAAAACATTACTGGCAATCTCACATAGGGATAACAGATCAAATAGATTAGGCACTGTCACTTCTCAACTTAGCTGTTTAAGTTGGAGATGAGAATTTCTGGCAGAAACCAAGGTATGGAAAAGAAAAGCCGAGCTGAGCAATTTCCGAATGATCTGATCAAGAAAAAAAGAAGTATCCTTCCCTTTTTCTACCTTGAATGTAATTAGTTTAAATAATGTAATTTGATTACAATTTTGGGCTTCCCAGGTTCAATATCCACTAATAGTTTTTACAAGTTCAATCAAATTACACGGTAGTCCTACTTACCAGAAATGTTTCAAAATTCAAGCATGTAAGTTCCAGAAAAACGAGAGATAAACTTTAAGAACAAATCATCAAGTACATGACAAAACATGATAGCAGTGAGAACACAAAGTATAACTTTTACAGAAAATTAACATATAAAACGACCAACAGTTTCAATAAAATCCTTCTCACTTGTTCAATATTTGAGATTCTTCTACGATGTCTAAACTAAAAGAAGAAATTATTTTGTTACAGTATGCTGATAAGACCCTAAAGTCTAGACTATTAAAAGACCGACTTATTGCTTACACTATTAAAAAGTGGATATCATACTTACTTGATCAACGGGTTGTGATGCGTTACAGATAGTCTATGGCTAAAGTGCTGAAAGAGAAGCTCCCAGAGATTGATGCTGCTCAGCCTTGAGGACAAGACTGATTTGAAGAGGGAGGAACTGTTAGGACCCTTTTTTATGAGCTTTTGAATAATGTTTATTGAGTCTGTTTAGTCTAGTTATTTATTGAGTCGATTTGGTTCAATTAGAGTCAAGTAAAGATTTATTTAATATTTATTTATTATTAGAGTTCAAGTCCTGATGGACTCCAGGTGGAACTCTACAAATAGGGATGTAACTGCTTCTTTTCAGTAATCTATGAAAAATACTATTGTCTTTGGACAAACCCTAGGAGGCCGATCCCCTCGAAGTGATCAAGGAGGGCCGATCCCCTCGAAGAGATCAAGGAAGGCCGATTCCCTCAAAGAGATCAAAGAGGGTCGATCCCCTCGAAGCGATCATTATCATTCCCTTTTCTTCTTCTTTTTACTATAAGACTTTAGGGTCTTATCAATTGGTATCAGAGCCTACGATAAGACTTTAGGGTCTTATCATTTGGTATACGATAAGATTTTAGGGTCTTATCATATGCATGATTAACATGAACAACATAATAAGCACGCTGAATAAAGGAAAATTATGAAAAATACTCATCAAAATGTAAAATTCCAACCACTACCAGTTATATGAAACTCCAAATTAATTGATACTGCAGTTCCAACATCCAAGTCAAGTTCGAGATCAAAGTAGAACCAATAAAGCTACATTTAAACTAGTCCGAGTAAATAATTCAAAACGTTTAAATTGACAAACTTATGGATCCTCCAGATTTAAGTAATATAAAAGGACGAATGAGCTTGAGATGAAGCAATCTCACAGTCTGCGGCCGTAGCCGCCGACGGGGCGGGACGAGTAGGCGGGCGGAGCGGAGGCGACGGCCTGCTTCTCGACACCGGGGAGGTCAGCCATGCCAAGGGCAGCAAGCATGTCGAAGGTCTGACCGTCGATCTCTATGTGGTCAACCTTGATGGCGGACTCGTCGGGGACGAAGTCCATACGGCGCTCGCGCTCCTCCTCCTGGAGCTTGAGGGAGATCCCGCGGACGGGACCCCGCTGGATCCGGCGCATGAGGTGGGTGCTGAACCCAGCGATCTTGTTGCGCAGCCGCTTCGATGGGATGATGGCCACCTCCTCGAGGATCTTCTTGTTCATATGGAAGTCGACGGTCATGCGCGAGTAGTACCTCTCGATCACCTGGCGGGAGGACTTCTTCACGGTCTTCGTCCGGACACGGCCCATCTCGGCGGAGGCGGCGGTCGCTTCTTCTCTGGTAGGGAGCCGAGAAACTAGGGTTAAAGGTCGCCGCTTCTTCGATATGTTGAAGATCGCGTGGCAGACGATATAAATAGTGGTCGGAAGGCACGTTAGGGTTTGCAATGATGTTTCGGTTTAACGGCGTTTGTGACGGTTATGTTGCGGGCGCGACATGGTGCGATGGGTATTTTTACATATCTATCCTTGCAAAAGTTCCGAAATATAATATTTGCTCCTGCAAGTAAATGTTATTATTATTTATTTTATTATTATTATTATTATTATTATTATTATTATTATTATTATTATTATATATATATATATATATATATATTGAAGTTTAACATATATCGTCACCCTATGAAAACTATAATTTTGTATATATAACATGGTATACATGTAAGTTCAACTATTCGCAGCAAGTTTTCTAACATATTATTCTAATTAATATTAATATCAACGAATCTAATTACCAAGGACCTTAGGCATTTTATATATTGTATTTTTAAATTTAAATTAACTAATATTAGTTAGGGGTATAAATGATTAACATAAGCTTTTTGTATCTTGTTTAAATGGAGAGAATCTTAATATCCAAATTGGATATATTTTTTTAAGTATTGATAAAAAAATTTATTACTCAAAGCATAATAAGAGGATATTAGTACAAAATAGAAGGATGTAATATTCTACCCATATTGCATAGTAGAAGGTCAGGAGTATATTTCATCCATATCATATAATATACTTTTTGATTTAATTTATTATAAAAAAGTCATAATATTTTTTTGATTAAATTAATTATAAAAAATCATAAGGATATGTAATCGAAGTTAATTATTATTTTGATAAAAAATTTCTTTTTTCGATTCGACTAGTAGGATCATATTAATAAACTCATCCAATTTCAATATTTATATAGATTGAATCAAGCGTTTGAATACTCATTAATCATCATATGAATATCAAAATATTCTTTTTGCTTACATCAAATTTCTTATATACACGAGTTTAAACTAAATTGGATTGATGTAACCATCAGTGTGTCCACCACATCAAGCATTTACGATAAGTATTATATATTTTTTGATTAATTATCTAAACTTAATCGATCGAAAATGTAAATATATGATATTCTACTCCATATCATCTAATTTTTATAAATATTATCACATATAAAATTTAAATTTTTATGTAGTCTATATAATCTTCGTAACATAATTATCTCACACGTGTTTTTCAGTAAGATTTTACGCATAAATTTTTTACGACGAACGCTTGTCGAGAAATTTAAAAATTTTATTTATATTTTTCTACTACGTATATGATGTCGTTTTCGATTTTTTCTACAAAAATCATGTCGCTTAATAACAACACGAAGAAAATGTATATGATACAGCACACACGACGGATTCCGTGCAAACAAAGCTCATATCCTTCGAGAAATCTCAATCTCAGCTGAACTTATCGTGATCCGAACCTTTCAGAGTTCGGAGTAAAGGATACGTACACATTGGCTTAATGCTCCTCGAATGCCCTTCATTGCTCGTCCAACGATGCGTCGTTTACCCGTTCATCTCGTTGGACGCCTTGTGGGCCCGAGCTTGAGGACCGATTACAAGCAAGTAGGTGTCTGGGTGACGATAAAACGGGTAGGAAAACTTTCGCTATTACTTGTCGCGTAGTTTTCAATATACTCGTGACGGACCCACCATGCTTTTGGAAGAAGAGCCGAATGCAACCAATCACGAGGCAGGTAAGAAAAAATGCAACTGACGTCAATCAAAACAGGATTGCTCCTACCTGACACGGACTCCCAGACACGGTCCGCGGTCAACATGGCGAGCCCACCATCCTAATCCTTCGCGCCGAAGCAAAGCCGAGAAGCGCAAGGAGTCCGTCCGATCTCCATCCAACGGTTTCTAAGGCCTCAACCACGCGTCTACACTGGGAGTTTGGTCGGCCCTGCCGTCCCTTCGAAGAAGCCTCCTCAAAACTGTCAATCAAATTACTTAACAGTCCCCAGAGTCGCCCCCAATTGACCGAATCTTGTCCACCTTTGGACAGGGGCATCATAGTCTTATCATCGATCATGCAACAGTAAGAGTGCGAATGAGACTGACTATAAATATGAAAAAAGGCGGAGCAAGCGCAGTAGGTCCGGTATGCCTTCCGCGGATCGTCCTTGCCTTGATGTTCTGTAGTTTTTGGCGATCCTATTTCTCTTGTTCTTCTTGTCTGTACAACCCGATTTGGTGTATTGACGAGCAGAGGCAGTAGTGGGTTGGCGAATAGTGACGGGAGAGGAGTGAGCGGTGGAAATGGATGCTGTCTCCGTTGAATCGCTGCCCTTGGGGTTCCGATTCCGTCCGACGGATGCGGAGTTGGTGAATCACTACCTAAAGGGCAAGATCACCGGCCGTATCAAGTCGGAGATCGAGGTCATCCCCGAGATAGACGTCTGCAAGTGCGAGCCGTGGGACGTCCCCGGTGATCATTCCCCTTTCCGATCTCTATTCCTGCTTCTTCCTTCTCGTCCTTGTTTTATCTTCAGGTTCTTGTTGTCAAAGCTTGCCTTTTGTTTGGATCGGCCCTAAATGTTTGTTTCCCCTCTTTTTTCGTTTGAGAAAAAAATGATTTTTTGTGCATGCACTGATATCTCCTCGCGGTTTTGTCCGGAACATTCAATTTCGGATCTGGCATTGCGTTCAATCCTTTGCTTTCCAACGCTGCTTTTGTTTGTGAAGATTCTATTTCTAACTGCTGTAATGGTTTCTGTGTTGGTCAGCAGACAAATCATTGATCAAATCAATTGATCCGGAGTGGTTCTTCTTCTCACCAAAGGACCGGAAGTATCCCAGCGGCAACCGTTCCAACCGGGCTACGGAGGCTGGGTACTGGAAGGCCACAGGGAAGGATCGGACGATCAAGTCCAGATCACCAGGTTCGATGATTTTAGGCATGAAAAAGACCCTTGTCTTCCACCGCGGCCGGGCTCCCAAGGGCGTCCGCACTAATTGGATTATGCATGAGTATCGAACCACTGAGCCCGAATATGAGTCGGGTGAGCAGGTGAGTCGCTTCTTCTTCTCATTTAATTATCAGCACACTAACTAAATCTGTTCAGTACTTATGATTTTTTTTCTTCTGATTTTGTTTACTAATTGATCTACATGCATTGAAACCAACTGGAGGTACATGGAATTTGTTTCATATATTTTTAATCTTGTGCAGGGTGGCTATGTTCTTTGTCGTTTATTCAGGAAGCCTGAAGAACAGACCTTAGTTTCTGAGATCAATGATTGCATGGAGAAAAATGTTGATGAGATGGAAAGTACTGGCTTATCTCCTTCTCCAACCATTGTTTCACCAGGTGAGACGCAGCATGGATCAGAGGCTGCAGAGGAAGTTCTGACATCATTGAACCAAAACCTTACAGGGTTGGATTTGCAAGAAAATCTGCAACCTTTGCCTCGTATCTTTGAGATGCCACCATCAGCTATTAATGAGTTAGTAGCAGATAAAATGGCTTTTGCAAACAGCTGTTTGTTGAAACCAGAAGAGAGCTATTGCAATGCTACTATCGCTTCAGATGTTGCTGATCAGGGGACCGATGTGGCTACTGAAGTAAGATATCATGGACAATAACAATACATGCTATTTTATTCACTAAAAATTAAGCTATTTTTCATTACATTGCTTATTTATGTCTTTGTTGTGGCTTCAGACAAAAAAATTACTAGACTTAGTTAACCATTTTCTATAAGCTCAAATTTGATGGCGCTTATTGACTTACGGTTCTGTTTTCTTGGATATAAAATTCAGGTTGATTCTCTGTTGGATGATTTCGCACAATACCTGGGCCAAGAATGTGACAAGCTTGGTCCTGATGATTACCATATAAGTTCCCCGATAGTGTCTCCTATGGGCCACTCATTTTATGATGGAGTAAACCAGGGACTTCTGCAGGAGCTTAATCAATTTGACAACATTGAGCAGGACTCTGTCACTGAATTCTTAGATGCAGTTCTTTTTAATCAAGAGGAATGTTCCCATGAGGCATCAAGTGCCTGTAGAGGTCTAATTATGGAGTTTGAGGCAGAAGATCGGAATTGTCTGATCATGGACGATTCCCACTGGGACACGTTATCAGGCAAGGATAGCAGGACAGGCAGTGATGAAGATACTGAAGTTACTACTTTTGAGGTGAATTTTATTTAGATAATATTTTAGGGACACTAGTTCTGTAACTTTTCTCCTTTTTGTTTTTTACTTCCACAAGTTCGCAAACTGTGTTGATTTGAGTGAAAACATATGGTAAAGCAATTACAGTTAATGAACTTGTAAAATTCTAATTTTTCTTCTGTGTTGATTACCTCAGGATGGCATAGGTTTTTATGAAGAAATCTGCAGGCTGCCAGTTGGTTCAAGCCACTTATCACAGGAGAATAGTTATAATGTTCCTACGGAACAAGATACATGGCAGATCTCTGTGTTTCCTAATCAGAAGTTTAGCCGAAATATCTCCTCGATGGACTCTTCTGCAGGTTCTTTGCATCAAGAATCAACCAATACGGACAACTCTGACAGGGCTGAAATCCAGATCAGAGTTCGCAAAAATTTGACAGACTCAGATTACTTGATTAAACAGCAAGGCTCGGCAATGAGACGGTTACGTTTGCAGAAGTTCATTCACAATGGATCTGCCCCCAGAACTGTTCATGCCTTGAGCAGTAATAATGATGATTCAGACAAATCAGGTGTCACTGAGGTATGATGTTTGAGTTGGTTATTCTCAGAAATGATAAATTTACCTAATATTAAGATAATAGAATATATCAGGACAACATTGTTAACAGTTTCTGTTTGTTATATTGACCTAATAAACTTCTTAATACTAAATGTGTACCATGGAAAAATTTTTACAGGCTAGTGAAGTTTTGGAGCACCAATTTGATGAAGAAAAATTAGTTTCTGGTCTTACCGCCGAGGACACTCATGGTAATAAACAGCAAACCATGTTGCAACTAGAAATTTTTTGATTGCTAAAACTTTTTGACCATTACTAGCTTAACTAAATTGATCTGAGATGGATATGACTATATTTTACTTTAACCTGACTTTTTCAGTGTGCGCTATCCTAAGTTTTATTAATGGGATGGGTGTAAGTTCCATGGAGACTAATTCTCCAGTCAAGATTGTTGTGAAATATAAAATTAATCTCGCCTGCTCAGACCCCAAGGTTGTCAATTAGGTTGATTAACATTTCATGGGTAGTTACATTTATGTGCCTGCAAATTTTGAAACTCTTGTTATGGCTCCTTTATTGGCCCACAGAACTGAAAACATATATTCCATGATAATGGGTTTTTTGAGGAGCATAGGATTCACCTCAACATTTCAAGAGGTAATTCTGAAATTGCCTGCTTTGCAAGTGATGCACATGAAATTTTTTTCCTAATATTATTTCAGGAAATGTGCACCTCTCTAAGCTTTGATTTAACCCAAAAGAAGACCCTAATGACGTTCTCAAAAATTAATTAGTTCAAGGGTCTATGTTTTAGGCTAGAACCCATTTTGGGTTGGTCAAGGCAGTGGTAAACATGGTACCTGGGCTGTCCAATTCGTGGCACAAATTGATCACCTGTTGATTGTCATGCAGATGATGCAAACTCCTCCGAGATAAAGTCCTCTTCTCCTGAGATCTATGATTCCAAACCCAAGTTGAGATCGAGAGCAAGACAGACTGATAAGAACGCTGACAAAACCACAGGCCAATCTTCGGATCCAATGTCAACCGGAGCTGCTTCACACTCTCCACTTACAGTCATTTTGTTTTTGTCAGCAATGCTTTTGCTAGCATTACTTGGATTGTTTTGGTGCCTAAGCTCCTAATGCCTTTGTTCAGATGGGTACTTTTGTTTGTCTAATAGAATCAGTTCTTGCGACCCAAATTTTAGTCTTAAACATGTAGTAGGTATCTTGAATTACTGAGTTTTCCAGCTTCTGTAACATAGCTAGGTTCATCAGTGTACACCTAGTTTTGCAGCTTTTGTAACATAATTTCAATTTCTTATAAGATGTATTTCTTAAATCTGTCTTTTTTTTTTCTTTTTTTTTTATCGTGTGTGGGAAATAAAATCGAATGCCAGTTAAATGGACAGAAAAGAAAAAGTCACATGTGGACTTGATTTAAAATATTTTCTTTGATGGTGAAGAGTTAGTAAAAGTTATACTTTTCATTTAATTGAAAATTAGTACTTGTTTGAAACAACAAAGCAGTGTTCTTGCTCTCATAAGATCTAAATAATAGCTCAAATTCCAGTATACACCTACTAATCTATAATTACTCAGATTCATATATATACATATATATATACATATATTTATACATACATATATATATATATATATGTATATATATATATATATTTATACATATATATATATATGTATAAATATATATATATATATATATATAAATATATATATATATTCAGTGACCATAGAATTCAGGGGTATGGAGGAATCAGCCTTTCGATTGAAAGCCCTACCCTACCATATTTAGTGATTGCTCATCAGTCCTGTAGGAATGCATGCTCTTGTCAAAGTCAACAGAATCATTTTCCTTGGACAGTTCACTTCCTTGTTTGTTTACTTCTTCTTGCACATCCGTGGAATTGTAAAGCCCACGTGGCTCTGACTAGGTACACCTGCCTTCCTCCATCTAAGTATCATGCGCACGAATCTCGGAGCAACCCATCTGATAGAATCCTCAACATTAACATTGGATCGGATCGAATAATGCGTTCTCATAATTATGTTGTATATAATGTAAAGTCGATAATAACAGTTAGAAAAGACGAACCTGATTAATTTAATTTATATGCCTAACTTTATTATCGAAGTGTGTTATAAATCTAATTTAAAATAAAAAAAATCGATTTAAATGGATTCGTAAAATTCCGTCAGCAGAGCACTGAATGGAGTGAGACAGCGATCACAAGCCGATCGAAGGTCCACTCTCCTGCGCACAGCGGAGTTGACCGAGACCGGTCACCGCTTTGACCGTTAGGCGAGCGCGAGAGAGAGAGAGAGGAGGAGGAATCTGTTCCACCGCTTCCGAACAGCACATAAGAAGAGATGGGGAGAGGAGAGGAGAGACAGGAGAGGGAGGAGAGCGCAGGGGAAATGGAGAGTTCCACCCAGGAATCACCTCTCAACTCTAACGCCTTCACCTTCGACTCCCCCCACCCCGTCTACGCCATGGCCTTCTCCCCCTCCTCCGCCGCCGCCGCCGCCTCCCCCCGCCTCGCCCTAGGATCCTTCATCGAGGAGTACGGCAACCGCGTCGATGTCGTCTCCTTCGACGAGGACGCACTCTCCTTCCGCGCCGAACCCGCGGTCTCCTTCGACCACCCCTACCCGTCCACCAAACTCATGTTCCACCCGCATCCCAACAGCCCGCTCCTCGCCTCCGCCTCCGATTGCCTCCGCCTCTGGCTCCTGGGCCCCGACGGCGCCAAGATCCGCTCGGTCCTTGACAACAGCAAGTCCAGTGGCTACTGCGCCCCGCTCACCTCCTTCGACTGGAACGACACAGAGCCCCGCCGCATCGGTACCTCCTCCATCGACACCACCTGCACCATCTGGGACGTAGAGCGCGGTGCCGTCGAGACCCAGCTCATCGCCCACGATAAGGAGGTCTACGACATCGCCTGGGGAGAGCCCGCCGTGTTTGCGTCCGTGTCCGCGGACGGCTCCGTCCGCATCTTCGACCTCCGCGACAAGGAACACTCCACCATCATCTACGAGAGCCCCCGCCCCGATACCCCCCTGCTCCGCCTCGCCTGGAACAAGGCCAACCTCCGTTACATGGCCACCACCATGATGGACAGCAACCGCGTCGTCGTGCTCGACATCCGCGCCCCTGCCACCCCCGTGGCTGAGCTGCAGCGGCACTGCGCTAGCGTCAATGCCATTGCGTGGTCGCCGAAGGCCGCGCGGCATATTTGCTCGGCCGGGGATGACGGCCAGGCGCTTATCTGGGAATTGCCTGCAGCCGCAGCTGCAGGCACGGTATCGCCGGAAGGGATTGATCCTATGTTGGTCTACACGGCGGGCGCGGAGATCAACCAACTGCAGTGGTCTGCAGCACACCCCGATTGGATCGGGATTGCGTTCGCCAACAAGGTGCAGCTGCTGAGGGTCTGATCCCTTACTAGGTATGTTTGACGATCAATCCTAAACTATTATGTGTCCCGGTGCTTCATTGATCCTCCAGAATATTGTCTCTTTAGCTTATAATTTAGTGAAGACCACATACATTCTGTTCCCACTGGTCAGGGAATTCATTTATCCCCTTTTTGATTTGGGTGGTGGGCGTTCATCCAGACGTCAGAGCATACTGGATAGTTGTCCAGTGTTTGCTGATCAAGAATTTTCCCTTTATTATCGATCCATTGGTTTGCCGAATGCATGGGTGTATGTGAGCAATCATAACAGGTACACTTATGCTTGACAAGGGAAGAAAAGGAGAATCAGATAAGTATGTCTTAGATTTTCCTATAGTCGTGTGTAAACCACTGAATTGGTATCACTTTGATGGCAAGACATTTGAGTCGTCCTCTGAGTGCTTTTTTGGTTTAGAAGTGAACAGAACTGTGAGAAAAAGAAAACTTTTTCTTGCCATTTGGGAATTCAGATGGAGCAGAAACGAATGACAGTGGCTTTACTGGAGAAATCAAATTCAACTTCTGCCTAGCATATAATAATTTAGATGAAAATGACAGTAATTGAGGATGTGTGAAAACTTGAGCCTAAGTATTTTCCGCCATGTGGTTCAATGCCTATCAAGTTAATGGGTCACTTATCCCATCAGATCGGATCATGATAAATGGTAGCGTTGATTAATATTGAGCATGATGAGGGTTCGAGTAAGAGAGGATTACTTGTGGATAGAATTAGAGGCACATCACAACATGAAAATCATCTATGATTACATGTTCAAGTAAGAGCATGTTATCATCTATGATAAAAAAAAAAAATCAAAGATCACTTTTAAGTAGAGTTGAAGATAATAGATCCTTACATTTATCTACAAGTTAATATATGTAAGTCATTTTTATTTGGATTTCTAAAGTGAAAACCGGGAAAAAGTTTATGAAAGAGGCAAATTTCCTCACTACAAAATAAGGAACATTATCATTGTCTCAAAATCGACCATCAAATTATGAAGGAAAATAAAGATCTTGCTGAATTTGGTGAAAGAAGGAACTTTATCAGGTACTTAAAATTTTTGGATAATATTTCTATAGATATAAGATATAAGTTATATTGATATATCATGTTTTAGCTGCCATATATGGAAATACTAGGCAAAAACAAAATGAAGTTTTGGGTGAGTTTGCTTCAAGTCATGAAACCTATTGAGAAGCTGACAGAGTTGGTTTACATATGGAAGAGGCCACTTCAATCATGACTGAGGATGCCTTTGGAATCAGGAAGCTTGTTTAGAGGAAGACAAAACCATAGAGTAGGCAGTTGATGAACAAAAACTAGTTAAATATTTTTATATTGAAATCATGCATCCATTGCTACCTCTTTAGATATATGAAAAGAAAATTGCAAAGTCATATGTTGGTGACCAAGTTGTTGATTTTGGCATAAGTGTGGTTGAGTTACTGTAAGTCAAGGAGCTTGATGAATTACGTGGTGATTCTTCAAAGGCCAGCTAACTTGACATGACCCTGGAAGAGTATCAGGAATCAGCTTCTGTTTTTTATCCTAGGCCTTTTTTCCTTTGACTGAAGCTCAATTACAATGTGCAAAATATAGTAAATCTGCATTCATTGAAACTCGAAACCACAGGTTTTCCATGAATTGCATGTAGTTTTTCTGCAATTGAAATCATGAAGCCTGTTTCTTTTAACAAGGGTAGTGATTTTTGAATATTATGGTATATTCTTAATAAATCAACTGTATGAACAGATATAATTATAGTGTTTTCTATCTAGTTTGCATCATGTTGGAAGTTAAACCTATTTAATGCTAATTCTTGAATGAAACTGATTTATATGAAACAATTTTTTGGCAAAAATGATCACTCTTCTGGGAACAAAAGGGTGAAAGGTGGGTGAGACTGTCATGATATCTGAACTTGTTTCTTGCAACAATTTCACCAAGCACCATTTTTGCACTTATGGAATCAAATATCGCTCTGACTGTATGTATCAATCGGTACATTCTAATTGGAATTTACTCCTTTATGTCAGTACCAATCCATACTAAGGATTAGTACCAAGCCATATATGTCAGTACCAATCAGTATTTAATCATTTTCTTTTTGTTTTTACTGGTGACACTCGAGCGGTATAAGTTGGTGTATTATCCTGTGTTTAATGTCATGCCAGTTCAACCAGTTGTTGAAACTGGTATTGGATCAAGAATTAAAACTTTGCTCGTGATTTTACTTAATTTTTGAATTTGTTTAGATTGGGACTTTTTATTTATATATTCTATATTCTGGCTGGTACTATTTCTTATATTTTGTATTTGGAGGTCCGGATTTCTTGCTTCATCTTGTGCTGTCTTGCAAATCTTGGTGCAATTTTCTTAGTTCATTTTTTTCTTAATTTTTGTGTATAGAACTCCCTGCCTAACTGTGAAATCGCTAAGCCAATAGTTCCAGTCCAATGCTACATATGTTCTTGAATTTACAAGTGATTTTCATTGGCATCTGTCAGCAGACTTAAAAAGTTAAAACATTACATGGATCCCCTTTTTTTTCTTAGAAAACTCCAGCATAATTGATGCAAATAGCCTGCTAGTAGCAACTTCCATGGTTGGACTACAAGAATGAAAAATGTCGTAAGTTCTCTTTCTATTTTGTAGAAAATTTAATGGCAATATTCATCCTTTGCTAGCATAAATAGGCAGCTTACATGATATAAATGATCTTTATGTCATGTAAACATTGGCTGCTGTAGTCTTATATTGGCTCATATTTCTATTATATAAGGTCTATTTTAAAACATTCATTATGGTCTTCTACATGCAGAGTTAAACTTTTGAGTATTTATTATTGTTAAATTAGATTCTGGTTGTTTGATATGTGGATGGGGTTTCGAGCCAATCGAGGTCCACTTTCGAATTTCGATATGGTACGTACTCGATAAGGTCCCCACACTTAAGTCAACAAGGGTTCAGATGATTAAGTGAAGTGTCGAAGTAAACAAGTGTATTCAGTCATAGGATACTAGAGTCCTTGAGAATGCACCTGAGGGCATTTTTATAGTAAGATATATGACCATTGGGCTGAGGCCATGGTAAATATTGAGACGATTATGCATATCAACTGACTCTCATTGAGTCATATGATCGTGCATTGAACCAATGAGTTACGAAGTAATGGTTTGTCGAGCCAGCTTTCTTGCCAGTGCTGTGTGGTCAACCTCGTGGGGTTGAGTCGGCATCCTCATCAGTGGTGCCACGTTGCCAGCTTCATCAGGTCGAGTCCAGCCTGACATGTTGGCCTAGTGGGAACGGGGTGTTAGCCAGGTGGAGGTGATGTGTCGAGTAGGTGGAAGTGACTTGTCGACCAGATGGGATGACGCATTAGTAATTTTACATGTTCTTCATAAGAATTTAAGAGTTTAGGATAAACTTGGTCAATAATACAACTAGGTAGGCTCCATCAAGCTAGAATGTTCATTTGGGAGAATCCTGCTCAACAAATAGGTCAGTACCTATTTCTTTTATAAAAAAAATCCACATAAGATTTCCATTACTAGTTTAAACTTGGATATCATCTCAAATTTAGGGCAATGGAGATGATGTACAAATCTCTTACATGAACTAAAAAAGGACTGTTCGACCTATGGTTTGCACATTCTGGAGCACTCAATTGTCCAGTATGTATTCTCCAGAAGCATTTAATTCTTGGTCAATATTATCACTTTTCTTTTGGCATATAACAAAATTCATTTTTCAGTTTCGTAAAGTTAGCTCAAGATCTTGCCTTGCAGGGATCATTGGATTTGTTGTTTTTCGTTCATCATACAATGGTTTCCTCTTTGAATCATTAATTAACATGTAAAATTGTATCTTTTGACATAATATTCTGTCTGATGACTTTATCAATTCCTTCTCTTCTTAGGTGCTTAGGTTTGGGGTGCACTGCTCACAAAATTCTGCCTCATCCATGAAGGTGCTTTCTGTCATTGGTGATGAGTAGTTGTGTCTGGGATTCAGGATCAAAACTACTGAGATGCAGCTGGGACAGCATCGTCACAAAGTGGGAAATCATGTCCTCTAGAACTGGCAGTCACATATGATCCTAACTCTTTTATCCGAAAAAAACCACAGCATTTCACAGCTTGTGCAAAGCTGGATGAGGGATTTTTCTGTGATCTTCACTGGATTGATGTTTGTCATTCTATAAATGACTTGTGCTTCATTTGATATCATGGATACGATGGATGGAGTCGACGAAAGGTATGTTTACTGCTCCACGACATGGTTGATCAAGATTTGAGTCACGAAAATAATTTCTTTGCTCTTATTTTTCTTCTCAAGTATATTACAGTAATTTTTAATTTTCTTCCAAAATTAGCCCTTTTTATTATTTTCTCAAAAAGCATCCATCTATGAAAAGTTTGATTTCCACCGGTTGGAAAAAACTTTCTTTTTTATGCTGTCCCTTTTCTTCTTTTCTTTTTGTTTATTTTCCTGACGATGGATTAATATTTGCCGCATAGTTTTCTTTTCCTTTTTTTGTTGTTTATTTGCCACACGTTATTCATCATCATAATATGCAATTACTCTCCCGTTGACACTTCGAGTCTCTGCACTCCGAGCGGCAGAGGAAGACGGCGATTGTTTCTTCTAGACCAAAGAAGAAGAGATATAATAACGGAGGAATTATGAGGGAAAGTGGTTGATAATAATGCGAACATAAAGCCTTTTTAAAGCCATAATGTTGCATGCTGAGACGAATTCAACGAATGTGGGTGAAGAGTTCAAACAATTAAGGTCATGTGTTCTTGGTTTACATGTTTATTGTTCTATTTTCATGGTTACCAAACAATCAATTAGGAGCAAAGATGCGTGCAACACGTTTTAAGTGGGATTTATTGGAAGGTAGGCGTGCAACACGTTTTAAGTGGGATTTATTGGAAGGTATAGTGTTGAAGAAAGCACCAATTTTGGAGGCTCGATTTTTGTTATCGTAGATTTCATCGTCACAATAGATTTGGTCTTTTAAGTGGAAGGTATAGTGTTGAAGAAAGCACCGATTTTGGAGACTCTGTTTTTGTCATCGTAGATTTTCTCGTCACCATAGATTTGGTCAAAAATAGTTCCTGATAAGGGTAAAATCACACGTGGCATAGAACGAGTAAAATCCATTGTCGCAAGGATCGTTATATCGTATCGATAACCAAATCATATCATATATCGGTGTGTCAGATTTATCATGTTAATAGTCGTCGTTAGTTTAGTCGTATCAACAATCGTTCTAATCATAAGCGATTAACAATCATTAAAGCATGTGATTCGAGTTTCTTTCGAAAGGCACTATTTTATTCGTCGGTGGAGATGTATCGTATTTGATAAAGTCATTTAGTCCCACATTGATTAAGAAATTAATTAAGGAGTATATGAGCCAAGGGCTCATAAGTCCATCAGGTATTTCTTATCTTTAAAAAATATTTTTTAGATTTTACATATTCCAAAAGGATAAAATCATCTAAAGCGAAGAATTCCTCGTCTTTGTGACTAAATGATCCCTTATCAATATTATATTATGTTAATTAATAAAAAAATAAGTCATTTTTCTTATTTTGTGGAGATAATTCACCAGAAGCTTAAATTGGAAATGGAAACCGGCAACCTAATTGTATGATTTGAAATTATATATTATTCTCTATAATTAATTATCTTTAATATTTTGATTCTTATATTTTTAAAAATTATATTAAGATCTTTATACTAATGAAAGTTAAATATTTAATTATATTTCTCCTCATATCATCGATTTTACCGAGAAAAATACCGTAAGATTTACTACGTGTGGTATTTTCGTTAATAGAACTAATATCGTGAGGAAAAATGAGATTAAATGTTTAACTTTCGTAAATATAAATATCTCAATATAACTTTTAAAAGTATAACGATCAAAACACTAAATATAATTAATTACCAGGATAATACATAATTATCGTAACTGTTTACATATTTTTTTCTTTACTCTTTAAATAGGTAGACTACACGTTGACTTAGATCAGAGGAATCGGAGTCATGAACACAGAGACATTTGTCTTCCCTTACAATTGCTTTGAGAGCATCTCAACATCACTTCAACAGCTCTGGCACTTCATTTCCACATCGACGACCTTCTTCGAGTTTGAGTCCTCAGCACCTCGATCGAGATGCATTACTTTCACGTCGAGTTTGGACTTGGTGACATGTCATTGACCTCTGGCTTAGCGATCGACTTTGGAGACTATAATTACTAGATAGACTATAATTACCCTTCACCAATACGGTCCATTATTTCGATTGGCTTTTTATCTATTGACTATGATACTTTTAAGTATGGATAGTTCATCATTTATTCCACTTTCTTATTATCATTCTTTCTTTTTTATCCATAATTATTTTAATAGTCATTTTATTTCATAATTATTTTTTTCTTCTTTTATCGCCTCACTCATTAACCAATTTTTTTGTTAGCTAACCAATATTTGATTCTATCCAAAAAAAGAAAAAAAACTCACACACATACACAATATATTTTTATTATAAAAAATATTTTTTATTAATATAATACATAAATATTATTTATTGTTTAACTATCTTATATCTAATCTACAATTCAACCATTTTACCCATTAATCCAACCAATGAACAAATGATCCAAGACTTACACTGAATCAATGTTAGATCCATGTCTAATAATTTAAGATTTCTAATACAAATTCGAACTAATTATATATAACCCATGTAATAAGTTATATTTAGTATCTTAATCTCTACACTTCAAAAAGTTACATTAGCATCTCTTTAATTACGAAAACGAAATATTTATGTCTATTTACCATAATGTCAGTAGTTTTATCAACGAAAACATGAAAACAAAAAACAGAAAGATAATTTTAACATTCTAGTTAGTAGTAGCAGATGACAACGTCGCTCGGGTCGCAAGTGACTATTGTGGATGAAGAGAACGATGACGAGAGATGAGGGTTGCTCTGCATATGTATCGATATTAACGTAGTTGTCGAGCAACGTTGCTCTACATCTGCATCGACATCAATACAATTGTCGAGTGACGAAAGGGTCATCAATGTAGATGTCAAGCGGTGCTGCTCGACAACTACAACGACATTAATGCGGATACAAAGCAACATTGCTTGACATATACATCGATGACTCTTTCGTCACTTGATAATTACATCGATATCAATGCAAATGTAGAGCGATGCTGCTTGGCAACTGCATTAATGCTGACGCAGATGAAGAGCGACGAAAAGGCTACTCAGCAACTACGTCGGCATCGATGTAGATACAAAGTGACCCTCATCTCTCGTCGTCGCTCTCCTCATCCATAAAGTGACCCGCGACCCCCGGCAGCATTGTCATTCCCCTCCATCGACGCTATCCGTCATCATCAACTAAAATATTAAAAATTATCTTATTACTTTTTATATTTATGTTTCCGTCGGTAAAATCGATGACATTAGAATAAATAGACGTAGATGTTTTACTTTTATAACTATATAAATTTTAATATAATTTTTTAAAATATAAATACCAAAATACTATGTAAACTACCTACCAACCCTACAAATCCCCAATAGAAAGAACCAAATTCCCAATAGAAAGAACCGAATTTTTATTCCCCGAAAGAGACTACGATGATGAGCTCCTCCATCCCCGAAAGAAAACTAGTAAAAAGCCGGTGGTGGCACGGCCATTGGCTTTGTGCTCGGAGATGACGGCATGGCTAAGCTGCTTCCCCGAGCACAGTATCAGCCGCAAGGAGACCAGTCGCACTTGCAGCAAGCACGGCCTCACATTTTGCACGAGGACCAAATGCAGGAGCGGCTCCGATCCACGAAGGTCTCAGTGTTTGATCACAACTTCTCTATCTCTGTCAAAGCTTTGACCTCCCCACTACAATATTAGCACTTTGTTCTATTCTCCCTGCAACTGCAATCACTCTGGCCCGGCCAGGAAGCGTTTGATTTTGATACGCCTTTGATCTTTGATTCCTTGCCATCCATTAACAACTCAGTACACAATCTGGTGAACCCCCACCACCGCTGGTGGTTCTCATCCAAATCACGGCAGATACAGCATGATAGTATCTTCTGTCAGCAATAGCCACATCTCCACAGCTTAACAAAATCACGCGACTCCGTGTTCGCGCGTACAACATCGAGAAAAAGGAAGAGAGAGGAAGAAAGAAGGAATGTTTTCTGCGAAGAACACGGCCATGAAAGCTTTCTTGTGGACGTCGCGTCACCGTCCGTGAGGAACAACCACAGCTCCGTAGTTTAGCAGGAATGGGTTTCACGGATCCGACGATGGCACCGAAAACCAAGAAAGAAATGGGGATGTCCAATCTAAAACGTTGCCGACATCTTAATCGTGCCTGAGATCATATATTACCTACAAACACACGTTATTTATTCTGGCTTTCAGTGGAATAATTACTCTTACTTTCTTTGATGGATTGCTGGAAATGGACTGTTTGGATTGGCGAACGAGATTATAAGAACAACATTCTACTTCAAATATTAATTTCACTTTTGATACTCGGAAACTACACCCCATAAATTTGATCTTTGAAGCCTAAGAATTAAATCTAAATAATGGTAGAAGCATAATTTATTTCCGGTAGGTGGATGGCTTACATGCTCACCTAATAATTTATTTAAGTGGGATCCATGAATAGGCCACGTTGCATTCGTACTTTGATGATTACTGTACCATGAGCTGTGTAATGCGTGTCTTGATTGCGACCTCCCGTAGACCCATCAATATTAGATTGAGACGAAAATAACGTCGGTGAGTAGACAACATAGTACAGTAGATCATGATAGAACAATTCGAAATGATAAGACATACAAAAAAATTTGGTATACGACTCGATATATAAAAACTAAAGATATTTCTTTCATCTATATATATATATACAATTTGTAAGCTTCCTAAAAGAGATTAGATTTTGGGTCAACTATAATTGCCTTCCGAGAAAGTAGAACGCCTCTATCAGAATCTCACGCCTACAAACAACACCAATCCTAATCATTCACATGATCTTAGTGTTAATGAAGTAGCAAATTCCAAATCACATTTAAATAGCCGGTCATTTCAAACATGAAGATCACGCTTTTATTGTTTCTTTTTTGGTAGAAGAGTTAATGAGATCCACATTTTCCTTAAGAGGATGCATATAAGCCAATTAAATTAACACCCATATGTATAAAATCCAATTATGTAAAGGCAAATCGAAGTAGTAAGATACGTTTCTATCTGATCCGATTAATATTCTCT